TCACAAGGAGTCAGTGACAATATTTTATGGAATCATTGGTTTATTCACTCAGCAAGTCTACCAGGTCAACGTCTCGCTCAGACCTATTTGGACATGAGCAAGTCGGTCTGAAGTCATGATTCCAATTTGTTTCATTCCCCCAATTAGAAGTTTCAAGCCGACAACAAAGGAAAGTTGGTACCATGATGGCATACTGCCAAGCCCAAAGGTTTTCATGCTTCAGTCGGGCGGCCTGATGTTTTTCTTTTCGAAGCGCAATGACCACAGGATCATTTTGATCTTCGTGCGGGTTGGCTGGTCCATGATGAGGCATGAATTGATTCATATCAATCTCTTTGTCATCGTCATCTCCAAGGGCGTCTCTTGCATCGTTGTCCGCATCCTCAGGCGGTTGTTGAAGTTCATATGCGTGCTCGTGTTTGCCTTGCTGAAGGTTGTCAACATCTGGATGTTGCTCTTCGTTTAGCGTTCTCAGACGTGCTGAATGTGAAGCTTCGGTACGCGCTTGGTCGAGTTTGCGTAGTGCTACTTCTTGATGTTGCAACGGTGTGGAAGGCTTAGGTTCTTTAGGCGCATTGTGAAGGCCACGCAGAATTCGGTGGGAAGGCATCAAGATTGTTAAAAGATTGGATGGTTATCTTTTGCTTGTGCACTTTTAATCACTTTTAATTGCATCGGTGACTCAGTCCAATGATAGGACTCAAGTTTAATCTCAGCTGGGTCCTTTGATATATCGAAGATTCCTCCTTTACGTAAATCAGAGGGTTGGCTGGTTGACAGGGGTGCCATCACCGCCTACTAAATCAGAGGTTTGGCAGGTACAGGGGTCTGTTGACCGAAAAGGTATCACATGTCACGCTAGGCCAAATGTGTTGCTCGTGTCATGGTAATTTTATTTGACTGTTGGCCTAGTCTGTATGGCCTTCAGCCAGTTTATTCTCCACGACCGTAGCGGTTGTTCTGGGCAAAGACGTGAACGTGACTGGCATCCAGATGGGTCTAGCCCAATTGGGTATGTTATTTGGCGTGATTGAGCCAAATTGGATCTCCACGTCGGCCTAGCCCAATGAGGCATGTTATTCGGGATGAAGATCCGTGACGACTTTCAAATTCTTCAATTCATTACTTTCCGATAACGTAATTCGTAAGACGATCTGATTAGGCTTCATTTTCGAATCTTGAATACGAATCTTGAATACTCTGATGAAGAGTTAATCGGCCGGAGGAAGATTCAGTCAGTGAGGTTTGACGGCCAGCAGGATATTTGAAATGATGTCGCTGAAGCACGTCTTCATGTACACTTTGACCTGCGGTTCTGGTATTTTCGGGCCCAATGTAGTGAACTGAGTCCGAGATGAAGCTCGAAGTAAGGCAGGGGCTCTCACTCACGCACGACTCCAACTTGCTGTGAGTGAATTCGTTCTGTTGTTTGTTTTTTTAGGTAAAATTCACTCAGTTTCAAAATATGTACAATGCATCCAGTTGCAACAAAAATTGTAACAAAAAAAAACTTTAAAAAAAAGAGGGGACATCTAGACGTAACATAATCATCTAAAGTAAATATAGCCACTGTTCAACTCAATCCGATACAACTATTGGACCCAGTTGTTTTTTTTTTCTACCTTTGTTATTAGATTTGACGAATTGCTCATTGAGTTCGATCAAGGGACCCCATGTGTCAAGCCAATGACTCGCGTCCTCGTGGCGATATCGGCGCCATGTTTTACAAAGTCGAGGAACTGGGAGGTTGTCCAACGTCAAATCGAGCTGGAGGGTGCAAAAGTGGAGTGATGCCACGGTTAAAACAATTGGTGGATGCTGATTGGGTCCTGTGAGGTAGGGAAATGTAGTCTGGCTAGATGCACCGGGGTCGTAGTATATAACTGGACGCTCAAATGTTGTAGCTATAACGCCACCCCAACCTGGCATGGTGAGCCAGTGCTCTTGCTGCGATACTACATTTTGTTTGCGTGTCCGAAGGCGGTTCAAACCTTCGCCCGCGCGGCTGAGGCAGTGTGTCGTCAGAAAATAGTTGAGGATAGCTCTCTACCGTCTTGACCATGCTCTGGCGTATATCGAGCCACTCGTCTTGAGACCGCCCAAGGGCTACCGCGATGGCGCGAAAGCCACAGTGTCCATCCGGCTCTACTTCGCATACATCGAGAATAAAGGGTTGCAGCCTCTCCCGGATGCGATATTTCTTCATCAGAGGTGGGAGTTCGCGAGCTCGCTTCCTGGTGATCCTCGTTACTGGTGCAGGTAGTGAGAGGTTTGATGTGGTGGGTGTTGGAGTGGGCAAGGTGGGAGCAGTGGGAAGGTGTTTGTTGGGTTCGTGTACTGGAAGGATTTTGTTGAATTCTTGGACTTTTGCCTTAGGGTCGGAGATGAGTTCTTCCATATTGAAAGTGGAGGTTGTGTTCTCAGTGGGTCCGTAGAAGTCATCGACAAGGCTATTGATCTTGAAGCAGTTGAATGTTAGTACATGTTATATTGGTCCTGGTGCATGAAACTTGACATACATATTCGTTTGTAGGGTAGGGAGATGTGGCAGGATTTGTTTTCTCAGGGGAAAACATGCTTTCACCTAGTAAACATCCGATGTTGACCTATGATGTACAGATAATAAAACATTTGAAATGATGGAGTAAAATGCTTGTCAGTGGGTTATGCCTTGAGTAGCATATGTATCGACTGTAGCTGCACGACTCACGGGTTCATTGAAAGTGTCGGGATGTGTAGCATTATCAATTTTGTAGTGGTTTGGAGAGTCTGGGCTGTTCAGGAACAGCATTTGCATATCAGACTGCTATCAAAGGTATAAGATGGTTATGATAAGCCTGGCTGGATTAGTTTTAAACAGTGGAGCTTGCTTACTGCCATGTGGAGTGTGGTGGTGTCTGGGGAATCGCTTTCAATGACAGGCATATCGATTTCAATATTGGTTGACCGATTCTGTGATGGGTCGGGGCTAAGAGCTGTTGTGGGTCCCTTGATTTGGTCATTAAGAATCGAATCGATTTTGATGATAGCAATTTGTCGACGGTGAGGAGTCAAAGCGTGTAAACGTGCGGAAACGGATGCAATGGTGGAATCGAGTGAGGCGTCAAGAGGTGTATGTTGTTCTATTGGAGGTGCGACGACAGCAGGTACCAGAGATTTGTTCTTCTTACTGGGTCGTTTGCGAGGCTTGGCAATGGGGTCGGGGGGGTGATTATGACCAAGGTGGGTATGAATAAGTAGCCAATTGCCTGTATCGGGGAAAAATCGACCGTTGAGCTTGAATGGGCAGTCGATCCTGACAGACTTAGTGGTTCCAGGTGCGAGGGAGCCAGATGGGTAACCAGCTCGGTAGCATTCATAATGAATCAAGTTACTCCCGCTGTGGGAGTTTCCTATCCTCATTCAATAGCCGTGCTGAATGGCGTCGAAGTCTAGAACGTAATCGTCCATCTTGCTACAATCGGGATGGTTGATCTCAATCACATCGGGGACAGGTAAGATATGTTCGATAGGCGTTTGAGAACTCGTTTCGATTGGATCGAACGGTAGTGTAGAAATGGGAGTAAGTGGATTTTGGGTGGCTGAATTGAGCGAGGAGTGTTGAGGTAGTGCGAGGTTGATCTTGAGGTAGTAAGTTGGAAGTATGTGAGCGGGGTTGGTGCTGTATGTATGTTGGGAAGCTTGAATGGTCAGATCGTAAGTTGAGGTGTAAGATAGTGATATGTATGAGGTAGTGAGATGAGAAGATGCGTTCGTGATACTGAATGTCATGCGTGAGTTGGGTAGTATGCTAGTGAGTTCAGGTGGTGTGCTTGTGAATTTGCTTGTTAGGTAGTGAAATGGGAAGGTGTAGGTGTGAGATCATCTATTAGGAAGTAAGATGAAATATCACGCCCGTTACTCCTGATGTTGAGTCGTGAGATTTAACTTTCGTACTCGTGATTTTGCTATGTAGTAGTGAGATTTGATGGTGTAGTCGTGAGTGTTCTTGTATAGTAGTGAGATGTTGTGATATACTCGTGAAAGGGTGCTCAACGTGTACAAGCCCCCCCCTTGGGGAATGGGGACTTGTAATTATTTTGAGGTACCCAAGAATCATCTATGTATCTAGGAAATTCTACATGCTTATAAGCGGACTACATTGGATGATACAGTTAGGTTTATCATCCAATACACTTGGTAGGTTTAAGTACACACAGGTGGCAGAAGCGCAGCAAGGGTGTGGCTGACCCGGACCCGGAAGCGCGAAGCGCAGCCCAATCAAACGGGGCGCTCAATTGAGAGCGAAAGGCGCAACGCCCGTGGACCGCGCTGCCGGGGCAGCGAGGCGCCAGCGCCAGGCGCTGCGCTGCCTCGCGCTGCGCGCTTCCGTCTGCGCTGTGAGCCAGACTTGCTTCCATGACATTGAAGACCCCTTTAACACCAGCTGCATGCGCCACAAGCTCGTGGATCCTAAGTGCAAAGTTTTTTACAATCATTGTATGGGGAGTCGTTGGAATTGCAATCCAGTAGTCACGAGCTACAGAGACTACAAGACCAGCATGAACCATCAATATTCTCAATTTGGTATTGAGAGAAGGGGGAAAGATCTCACCTTTGGCAGCTGATTGAAAGGCTCTTTTGCCACTATAGTAATGTAGTACTTGATCTTTAAGAGTAATGGCATCAACCTTTTTGAATTTCCATAATCTGGCTATTGATAAGATAACCTTTGTCATTTGTTCAATTGTGTATGCTTGCAAGACGGCCAATTTACAATAGAGTGGATTTAAGAAGAACCCAACAATGTATACTGGGTCATCAAAGACCTTGGCTTGCTTGTTCAAAACTTTGATACAGTGAGATTTGTAAGGCAGAAAGCGTGAATACATAGAAAGATCAACCTTTTGAAGTTGCTTGTAAACAGTGAGAATCTCTTGCCAGATTTCACCAACTGAGGTTGTTGCTTGTTCTAATCAACCAATAGAAATAACAATTGGTTGAAGGAGTTTGACTAGGATAGAATTTGATGTGAAATGATCGTGATTTTTGATTATGACTTGTAAACTTTTTTTGATCGTTGGAGTGGAGATTGACTTGTCTTTCAACATGGAAAGACACATAGAAAACCCTTGTTTGTGTGATTCAACTGACAACACCACTTTGGAAATTGAAAACCATCTAGATTCACAGAACGTTTGAATTCCGTGCAATATCCCCTCCTTCCTCCTCCAATTGAACAACTTGCGGCCCCAGAAACTTGATGCGCTGAAAAATTTAACCAAAGCCTTATTGTTTGAAACTGTCTCTTTCATATTAGGATGATCAACACACTTCTTTGCAATTAGATTGAAAACGTGTAAGCAGCATGCTAAAGGAATTACATGAGGGTATTTGGTTGTGACAAGTCTCTAACACATCACAACAGGATGGAAACAATCAAAAGATCAGTATTGCAAAAAATTAAGAAAAATAAGGCATTGTAACAAAGATGTACCCTTAACTTGATCATGGCATTTGGAGAATCTGTCACAATGGCACCAATCTGCTCCCAAATGACATGTTGACCAGTCAAAGCTGTCTTCAAATCTTCCAGCGTATTTTCTGAGGTATGTCGAACATTGTCTAAGTCAAGAACATCAATCTTCTTCTTGAGTTCAGTTCCACGTAGGAGCAGAACAGCATATACACTATTTTGTGAGCAATCCGTCCATCCATCTAGCGAGATGGTTAGTTTTGTGTGGCACTTGATTTCTGCTTCAGTTAATTTTGAGTATTGTCCATGAAGACAAGGAAGGATGGTATCCATCATTACATTTTGGGAAGCTGGTGTGTGTGGTGAAACGGAAAACATTTGTTGAAAACTCCAAAAGAATTTGTTGTGAAGGAAACAAAAGGGTACATGTCCGGTGATAAGTGCTTTGAGAAGCTCTTTGTTAAGTTGTAACACCTTCTCCTTATCTCGCTTCTTGAAGTGATGCAGGTTGGAAAAGTTGTGTTCATACTTGGGGTGTTTAGCAGACAAAAGACTCATTGGTGCTTTGTTTGGTTGTGTAGAGCTTGTTGGAGTTGATGTTCCCGTATTTAGTTCTTCGTAAGCTGATTGGTCTGAGGCTGAGATGGATTTGCAATCTTGAGTCATATGACAGTAGAGTTTTGCCGTCTTTCCATCCATTTCGGCTCTGCAGTGATTGCACTTAGCACGACGGCGGCCACAATTCCAAACACTGGCTGCTTTAAAGCCTGCCCAGTTGTCAGAGATGCCTTGGGGCGGCTCTATCCAAACAGTAGGCTGTTCTATGGGTGCAGGTTGAAGGTTCATAGGTAGATATGATGTGCTGTGGAAGGGGAAGCACACATGTGAAACAGGTAATGATGAGAAAGAGGCAGATCTACAAATATCATGACCTTAGGTTTCATGGGGCGTGCCCCCCCTAAATTTCAGAAAAAAAGATGCGCCGGCTGGGTCACCAAAATTGCGCCGCGCCCCCCACATGACCTACAAAGTACTTGCCCCAAATCCAACCTTTTTGTGGGAAGCTGTCTCAAAAATCTTGGAATCCAACCTTTTTTGTCAGTACACTTTGGGTATATCATATTTTGGATCAGGCATTGGGGAGCAAATGGCTCATTGAGGGGTCTCAAAGCCCCCCTGGGACCATTCTTCAATTTAAGAACAACTGTGTTTGACCATGAACATTGAGAAAGATTGATAATGATCATGAAGTGACTGATGTGTAGTGTCCAGCTTAGGGTACGTTTGGTTGCAATTACCAATTGTGAACTCTGTTTGACCCCAGGTACATTGCCCTGGGGCAAATGAGTTTATTGTGCAAATTGGGTTTTTTTCAAATAAACTCCGTTATGGGTACATTTGAGAAAATCATGTTTGGTTGAAAATCCCAAGCAGACGTATCTTATAGTAAACTCTCTTTGAAGGTTTTTCACCTCACCTCACCTCACTTCAAATTCT